AAATGGGGGGACATAGTGCCACCTGCACGCCCCTACCCATTACCCCCGCAGGTGGGGGCTATTAATATAAATGGGGGGACCCAGTGTCCCCGCCAGGTCCTGCTGTGATCCATGGGTGGGGGCCATAATTAATTAAATAAAGGAGTCCCCACCCATGAGCGGCGGGTAGGGACCCTAATTAAATAAGGAGGGGCTCTTTAATTAAGGTCCCCACCTATGACCGTCAGGTGGGGAGCTTAATTAAATAAATAATGGGGAGGATACATAATGTCCCTCCCAGGTCCCCACACATCAAAGGAATCCAGTGCAGTTTTTTATTAAACATTGTATTATCGATATATATATATATATATATATATATATATATATACATATAATATCAATTAAAAAAACATTTTATTTATTTTTATATTTGTGTGTGTACATATATATATATATATATATATATATATATATATATATATAAATTAAATGTTTTTTATTGATATTATATATGTAGAAAGGCCATTAGGCCTGAATTTGTGGGAGGAGTAAGTCCCCTACTTAAACTCCAAGCCCCTACTCACCTCTGCCGTTCAAGTTGATTGTCAGCTGTCTATCTACATAGCAACCAGCACTTCCGGTCCGACCTTCCCGCCAAACAGCTCCAGTCTCCAGCCTCCAGCAGTAGAGGTGTCCAGCTGAATCCTCCGTCCATTCTGCAGCCCGGCCACCCGGCTTCTCCCTGGTCGCGGTATCTGGCCTTTGGCTATTTCCCTCCGTTCGGGCCTAAAAATGTAGGTGTAGGCTCCCTTTTACTTATACATTACCTGTTTGTGCATACTTACCCGTTCGTGCAGTTCTGCGGTTTGTGCGACTAAATTAGTCGAAAGCTGGCTATACTTACGTTTCGTGGGTCCTTCGTGCAGTCTAAACTGCCAACCCTTGTTCGTGTAAGCTCTGGTGTAAGTTTTGTTAAATTATTGTATACCGGTCGTTCATATGAACGAACTATGTACATGTATACTTACCCGTTCGTTCATTAGGCGATTCGTGCAATTTTCTGTTCATCCCTCGCATACTTACCCGTTCGTGCACTACTTCTATTCGGGCAGTATTAGTCGAATGCAGACGATACTTAGCTTCAGTGGGTCCCCTATGCGGTCTAAACTGCTGACCCCTGTTTGTGCAAAGCATATATATATATACTTACCCGTTCGGTTACTTAACTGTTTGTATTAAATCTGTCAGAATTAGTTAAAAAATCTGTTTATTACTGCAACCATTTACTACTATGTCTGTGGTTCTTGGTTTAATTATGTTTAAATATAAGATCCTCAGATGTATGACACTTTATCTCAGTACTCGGTTATTTACTACAAGGCCTTTTGGAGTTAACCCTCTGTGTTTTAGTTGTGTTAAATACTTAATAAATTCTTCTGACACCCAACTACTTTGGCGGAGTTTTTCAACTCCATGCCAACCCCGTACACCATCACAGAACATACATATTAATATATAGCACGGTCCTCTGGGGGAATTTTCAAAACCCTACATTTCATATTACTCTCTATTTCTCTTTAGCTTACGCAGACATTAATCTTAGCCTCTGTTACATTTCTTTGGTCTCCACAGATTGCCCGTTTGTCTTGTATTACTGCATAAAGTTGTCAAATTCAAGTTCTTGTATTTACAATCCAGGTATAGTATTTACTCACTTCAGTTTCAATCATGTCAAGGCCTCAGACAGCCTTCACTCTAAACTTGTCACAAATGGAATTTGTTAATTAATATATACTGTTCTAACCACTTCTAATTTTAATAATTGTACGATGGCTTTAATCCATAGCTCCAACATTATTCTAGGCCTCCTCCGGTTTTCTCCGTAAAAAACACTTACGCTCATCCAAGTACCTGTACAAAAAAATCAAGGTATACTCATTACGGGGCTTTTCAAAATAGACCTGACACGGTCTCTATTTATCACGATTATCACACGGTCCTACGTCCTTGTTATGTTAAATTCTCTACATTTTTCTTAGGCCTACATTCATACTGCCATCAGCCAAGAACCTACTCAACCTACCTAACCTGGTACCCCGCTACATTACCAGGTATTTGCATTCTTACTAGCACTTGCTACCCCTAAAGCCTCAATCAGCCTCCCTCTATCGCATAAACTCGTCCCAGTCTCAGACTAATCATTCAGATCCCTCACCACAGGATCTCACGTTGAACTCCTATAGCCACCCATTACTATTAAGCATACGCCCCTACGTTATGCTCAAACACATCAACATCTGTCTTAACCCTTATTCTTCTTCTACGATATCAGCAGCGTCCAAGCCACTCTACTTAAAAACACTTGAAGGTTCTAATTACCTGATATAACCACTATCAAGGTTAGTATCCACTCATTACACCCATAATTGCCATTGAACCATAGAAGGCGAGTGAACTGGCTTACATGGTCTAGGCTCTGGCCCTAGCTCACCCAAGTAAATTCCGGTCCCGCGAGGCCATCTCCTACCTCAACAAGGAGGTACTGCCCCATGCCCAAATCATAGTTAAATGCTTTGTTCGCCCTTCTACAGGGCTGCAGTCAGGGCCTCACTTTTCATGGCCACACGTTTGAATCTCTTAAACAGTCATCGAGAGGCCAACATTCCGCCACCACGTCTGTGGCAACAAACTTCCCTCAGCCAAATCATAGATAGAGCCTCTCACCGCCACTCGGCACTAGCAGGGCCTCACTTGTCACTAGTTCACAGTTAGATTTTTTGCTTCGGCACTAGCCTTACAGTCCGGTTCACCTAAGGAACCCCCCCCCATACTTTCCTCTGTTCCCTCCTTCGCCCCTACTAAACCTAATTCACCAATTCATTTCTAGAATGTCTCAAGAACCAGCCCCCACCGACGAGTTGTCTGCCGAAGAGATCCTGTTCACTCCCATCAGAACCGAGTCTCCAGGCGAATCTCTCACCCCCTCTACTCCTATGTCCTTGAGAGCATGGACTATTCCTAAAATTACGGCCGAACTTAGGCTCAGGGGCATCCCCTTTCCAGCTACGGCTAGAAAGGCGGAACTCTTTAGACTTTTGACCAATCAGGCCCCCGAGCCTAGGTCAGGCACTAGCTCTCAAGGACAGCCTTCAGGCGCTTGCACGGCCACTCAGGACACCCTTGCAGCAATCCTGGTCAACCTGCAGACCCTGAACAACAGGTTATCTAAGGTGGAGAGTGCCATCGCCTCCCCAGGTAACCTCCCTGGCCTCTCAGCCCCCACCCCAGCAGTCTCTGCTACAACACCACACTCCCCTATACATCCCCCTCCAGCACCAGCCACAGTTACGTCACCTTTTGTGTCACCAGCTCACTCCGTCCCAGACTCCATTAGGTTTTTAGTTTAAAAGAATATTTTCCTTTTAGATCTCTCCCACTTAATTTATATTTAGATCATAGGATCAATTTATTTAACAATATAGAAATTCTTATATTTGTCTTATATACACTCTACTAGCATTTTTCACACTATAATTCTAAGCATTGTACATAGTCTGTACTCACATGTTTAATATTATCATCTTTTTCTGCAAGCACTTACTATATATTTTTCTTAAATTGAAAAGCATTATAGTTCACTTATATCACATTCTTGATACCTTGTGATATATGTGAATGAAAAAATTTACATAACGATGTTCCTTTTTTTCAATGTGCCTATGGAACATGTAGTGCATAGCAATGGATGCATTATGGACAATAAAGTTTAGTGAAATTTTGGCGCATGCGTTCCAAATACGGACTGATTGTGATGACATCATCACGAAGCGACGCGAGATACCACGTCATTGAGGACAGACGGAAGTAACCGATGGAAACAGGTGATCGGAGTCAGTAACTGAGGAGGAGCATATATAAACGACCGGACAAGAGAGAAGAATAAGAAGCAACTGAAGAAGTCTTTTCAATAGGCGAAACGCATCTTGCAAGTTTATTTTATGTGGACTTTTTAACTCGCTTTTAATTTATTTTTTGTACCATTAAAGTTTTTTCCGTTTTTTTGGAAATCACGTTCAGTGAACTTATTGGGCAAAGAAGAAAACTTCTACAGCACCATTAAGGGAGTGGGGTCCCTTCTAACTTCCCCACCTGCACCTGTGGTGAGCCTTACATATAGGCTCCATATTTGTGAGTACCATATTCTAGAGTTACTCATCTGCTTACTGTATTATATTTTACTGAATTGCACTAGGCTTGGGCCTTGTCGTTCTATCTTTTGCAGTGATACCATATGTGAATACCAACTATACTCCACCTTTTTTTGTATGTATGTATAATCTTTATTTTGTGTGTATAGAGAGGTGAACACACAGGTGTTAGTGTGTTGGTGGATTTTAGATCACACAACAGGCCTTTGTATTTATTTTGTCTAGTACAAACACCCAGGTCCACATCATCAAGAGACTGGATCGATGGAAATCCTCCATATACCATACGTACATACCACAACCAGAAAGAGATCTTCGCCAAGCCTTCAGGAATTTGGTTATGTACTAAATGCAATAAAGTGTGTTTTCCTTGAACTTCTCTTTTGCCCTCTTTTATTATTTACAGGCCCACTCGTACGTTGGTTTTCAGCACACCTCAACCAACTTTCATCTCAGATACTATCCATTACGTATTAAATTCCGAGCACAAGTAGAAAGGCCATTAGGCCTGAATTTGTGGGAGGAATAAGTCCCTTACTTAAACTCCCAGCCCCTACTCTCCTCTGTCATTCAAGTTGATTGTACCCACCCACCTTCACCCTTATAGCATTACAACTCTCCTTGGTGGGCCCTCTTTTATTTACAGGCCCACGCGTACGTTGGTTTTCTGCACACCACAACCAACTTTCATCTCAGACACTATCCATTACATATTAAATTCCGAGCACAAATATATATATATATATATACATATATATATATATAGTTAATACAATGTTTAACAAAAAACTGCACAATAATTATGTAGTTAATAGTTAAATACATATGTAGAATGTGTGTGTGTGTGTGTGTGTGTATATATATATACACACACACACACACATTCTACATATGTATTTAACTATTAACTACATAATTATTTGATTTTATTAATTATAATTTGAGGGACCTGCCTGACAACCAAGGCAGACAGTCCAGAGAATTTAATTGGCAAGCCCTATATTTAACTCTGTAACTTTCTAAAACACCATAAAACCTATACATGGGGGATATTGTTATGCTCGGAAGACTTTGTTAAACACAAATATGAGTGTTTTAAAACGCAAAACTTATCACGACGATGATATCACCAGTAAAAGTGCAGTTTTTGTTTAAAAAAAATGCAAATGACACATTAAAAACATTAACTTTGGCCAGCGTTTGTGACTAAGTGGCTTCTACAAAAGACTGGAAATAACACATTTTGAATACCCTGGATTGTCTACATTTGAAAATGGTTGCCATGAAGGGGTTATTTCACATTCCTGGGCTAAAATATGGTCTCAAAAGGCAACACAGAACCAGCAAACCAATCTGTCAAACTGAATTGAGCAAGCCCTATATTGACCCTGTAACTTCCCAAAACACCATAAAGCCTGTACATGGGGACTATTGTTATTGTCAAAATATGCCTTTTAAAAAAGAAACATAGAAACATAGAATGTGATGGCAGATAAGAACCATTTGGCCCATCTAGTCTGCCCAATATTTTAAAATACTTCCATTAGTCCCTGGCCTTATCTTATTGTTAGGATAGCCTTATGCATATCCCATGCATGCTTAAACTCCTTTACTGTGTTAACTTCTACCACTTCAGCTGGAAGGCTATTCCATGCATCCTCTACCCTCTCAGTAAAGTAATACTTCCGGATATTATTTTTAAACCTTTACCCCTCTAATTTTAGACTATGTCCTCTTGTTGTGGTAGTTTTTTTTTTTTGCAGTGCAGGAAATAGTACATACACACCTGTGGTACCCCAACGGCAATCCACTGGTTCGACATTTTGCTTAACAATTTAGGTACATGAGTATATGAGCATGTTTTTATAATTTTTAAGTGGCTTGACTTCCAATCTTAGAGCTACTGGCAATGTTAGTGTGACACATTGCATGGAAAACATATAGTAGGGTAGACTTTCTGAACTATACTAGCAAACATTTCCCTGCATTATTGAGGTCGCAGCTTAAAGTAGGTCTTGCACCGGCGCCACCCATAGGTAGTGGCACAGTGCGGCATGTAATCGCTGGTGGTTGCATGGATCATGGCCTAATGCGGCTGGGGACCAGTCCTGTATCGTGAGTCCGTTGTCAGCCGATGCCGGCGCTTGGGTGCCCGTTGTGGCTGTTGTGAAGTGGTGGAAAGTATTTCCTCCCTCCTGCATCGTGCCCCAAGATCTCCGCGTCACTGCTGCATAGCCTTTGTCCGCTGGAGGCTATGTGCTTGCCACCTGTGAGTCTTACGCCTGGTTTCGGCTGCGGCAGAGTGGAGCCTCGACATCCTGGGGGTGGGAATCCTACCTTGCGCCAGAGCTGTGGGAGAGCGGGTGCTTGTGGACCACGAGCCTGGGAATCTGTGTGGGTCAGGGTCGCCCCTTGCAAGGTGGTGCCAGGGAACCTGGGGGAGTCTTGGTCGGTTGCTTACATGTTCGCTTTGTTACTCTCCGCTGGTGTAGCCAGCACCTCCGGGTCATAACCTTTGTTGCTCTCAGTCCGGGAGGGCCCTCGACGTGGGGTGTTGGGGCTTGAGTCTCGGAGTTGCCCTGGTGAGTATCCCCAGTTCTCCGTTCGTCTCTGGCTCTGACCCTCACGGTCATTTTTTGGCGTGTTTCAGGCTGCATGCACGCCTCCACCTTTGCCCAAAAGCAGTCAAAGATTAGTGCAATCGGGTCTCTTGAACAGTATTTGGTTTCCGCTGCAATATTATGGTGCCATCGCTTATCCCTCAGTTGCGTGTGAAGACAATCTGCCATCTTGGGAGCCCCTGTCTCCAGTCTGGTTAGGGGGGGTCGTTGTGCCTGTCGCTTGGTGTGGAGCCCGTGCCCTCTGTCTGGCAGGGACTGAGATATCCCCCGTCGGTCCATGGGGGGGTGAGTATGGACCGACGGGGGATATCTCAGATAGCTTGGTGTTATTGGCATCTGGTGGGAAGATGGCCGTCCATCCCCCGTGTCTCCGCTAGGCCCGACGTTGCTGCTGCGGTTCCCAGTCGGGTTTTATGGCTTTGATGGTATCGGCAGGTTAGTGGTCGCTTCCTCTGTGCAGTGAGCCCTGTGCTGAGTATTTTCCAGCATGTAGTCTCGAGTTAGTCTAGGTTTTTGGGCAAACTCTGCAGGAGCTCATGCTGTGTGCGACTAGTCTGTTAGCCAGTTCGGCTCCCCCCCCCATAGTTTTTAGTTTTTTAAATATAGTCCCCTCCTTTACTGTATTGATTCCCTTTATGTATTTGAATGTTTCTATGATATCCCCAGTGTCTCGTCTTTCCTCCAGGCTACACATGTTACGTTCCTTTAACCTTTCCTTGTAAGTTTTATCCTGCAATCCAGGAACCAGTTTAGAAGCCCTTTAGAAGTATCAATGTCCTTCTCGAGATACGGTCTCCAGTACTGTGTACAATACTCCAAGTGAGGTTTCACCAGTGTTTTGTACAATGGCATGAGCACTTCCCTCCTTCTACTGCTAATACCTTTCTCTTTACAACCAAGCATTCTGCTAGCATTTCCTGCTGCTCTATTACATTGTCTGCCTACCTTTAAGTAATCAGAAATAATCACCCCTAAATCCTTTTCCTCAGATGTTGAGGTTAGGACTCTATCAAATATTCTTTACTCTGCCCTTGGGTTTTTATGTCCAAGATGCATTATCATGCACTTATCCACAATAAATGTCAGTTGCCCCATTTTTATAGTTTACCTAAATCATTTGCCATTTGACTTATCCCTCCTGGAACATCAACCCTGTTACATATCTTAGTATTATCAGCAAAAATATATACCTTACCATCAAGACTTTCTGCAATATCAGTAATAAAAACATTAAAGAGAATGGATCCAAGTACATATCCCTGAGGTACCCAAAATACCCCGGAATATATTATTTAAGAAATGGTATGCCTTTATGGTGTGGTTGGAATATGTAGCCTGCTAAAGTGCTTCAAAGTGGGACACGGACGCATCAAAACCCTCCATTAAAATTCACACTTAAAAACCTGAACTTGTCACGTCTCTTTTACAACATTGTAACTTCACAAAATAGTGTCTAGGTCATGCTTTGGGCATATTGTTTTACTCAGAATAATTTGGGGGATTTTATGACAGTGGCACATATCAAGTGCAAGAAATACTCAGCAAAAATGCAACGTGTGTAAAAATATAATTTTTTCCCCTCACCACAAACATTGGCATGAATTGTTGAAAAAATGGTGACAAGATAAGGCACAATATACACCATATATGATACCTTGGGGCGTCTGCTTTTTTAAATGGAAGCCCTTTGTTGAGTTATTTGAACAGTAAAACTGCTATAATACTCCAAAATGATAAATAGGCCCATCAAATCCATTTATGAAAATTCTAACTATAGAAACTGAAATAGCCTTGTCTCTTATATGGCATTGTAGCTTCAGAGAATAGTGCCAAAGGCATACAATTGGAGTATCGTTATATTGAACACAATATAACACAATATGGGGTTCTGTGCAGGAATAGCACACACCAGCTTTACGAAATACACATTACAAAAACCTTGTTATATGTGTATGTGCCAAAATAGAGAAAAAACACAATTTTACTCCAATATTTAGAAGAGATTGGCGATGAAATGGCTACCTAAAGAGTGTCAAAATAACCTTAGGAAAATAGCCTGTGATGTCTTCTTTATATAAAGATATACTTTTGTGTGGCAATTGTGTTTTCTGTGATGGCTACTAACCCTACAAGACAAACATACCAACTTTTAAAATTGTTTAAAATTGAAATTTTATTTTAGTCATCATATTTTGTGACCTGCAACTTTCAAAATAAGCTGAAATCCTACACATATTATGTACTCTATAAATCAAGACACATAAATGAATTTATTTTGAATTACTTTTCGTAAGCTGGTCATATTATGCACACGCTATTATTGTTAAAACTGTGAAAAAAAATGTTCTTTACGTTTTTTCCCTTTTTTTGCATTTTTTTTTATAACAAATGAGAATCTATCTATGTATATTTGACATCAAATTAAAGTCCTTTTTGCCCTCTAAAAAACAGTATATAATATGTGTTGGTGCAATATATGACAGAGGTGCAAATTGCATTTTAACACAAACAGCAAAAACGAAAAAATGCTAAAATGGCTTGTGCCCTTAAGGGTAAGACAAGCTTTTGAAGCTGTGTCCTTAAGGGGATATATATAAACTGTTTTCTTCTAGATGTTACAAACATGTCATCTGATTTTCTTCTTTATCTTTAAATGGACACTTGTAATTTTCAATAATGAAAGCAATCTATTGTAAGTACATAAAATCATGTGGTGTTTTTTAAACCCTACAATGCCATTCAGTGTTATTTTTCACACATGGCATTTTGGCATTTTTGTGGATATGATTAAACAAACAGCTTGTCTATATCTGCAGGTTGTACAGTTGTTTAAGATTTCAAATGTGAAACATTTAAATGCTATGGATTTATTTGTTGAAATTTCTTGTACAATCATTACAAGAAATAAATTCATAGCATTTAACCCCTTAAGGACACATGCCATGTGTGACATGTCATGATTCCCTTTTATTCCAGAAGTTTGGTCCTTAAGGGGTTAAATGTGTCTACCCTCTATCTACCAAGATTTTAGATATGTATGAGTGTGTGCATGTTTTTTTTTCAACAAGGTAATTTAGGTGATGTCCAGATTGTCAGACAAGGTTGCCCCAGAAGGGCCCAACAGGGGATTTGAACCTGGGTGCTTTATGGTTCTCAATCTGTGTTCAGTTCTTGGTTTGGCCTGAAATTTATCCTTGCCTTGTCTCCAGCACTGTGGGATGGACTTTACCTGTGACTGTTCCTGTCAATCATGGTCCAGCTGTAAAGTATCATCTGAAAGTATTTAGAAAA